ATTTACAATGTAAATGAAACTGGACTTTTTTTTCAAATGAAATCAAACCAAATACCATTAATCAAAAAATATTACTTTTGATTGATAATGCAGGATCTCACTTCAATCCAAAAGTATTAGAAGAAACTAATTTAAGTGAGAATGACTTTGATTAGTTGCAGAATCATCACATTTAGCTCAAAATAGAAAAAAGGTTATCAGATATTAGACTTACTAATATTGAGATTATTTACCTTTTACCAAACACTATGACTCATTTACAATCTATGGATGCAGATATCATTCACAGTTTTAAAGCTAAATATAAAAGGAAGTTTTGCAATCATATAATTCATCAATTCAATAGTGAAATAAATCGAAAAATGTAAGTTTAGTTAATAAATTTATAGTATTTTATTTAATTTATTTAATTTATAATATTTATTAATTTAATAATTTAAACAATAATTTTTATTTAGGAATAAATTAAATATTAAAGAGGTAATCGATTATATTGCTGAAGCATAAGAGAATGTTATATAATCAACTATCTGAAATTGTTAGATTAAAACAGGTATATTATCACCTTCTGATTATAATATAGATGATATTAATATGTAAGATTTTGAATTAGATAATGAGACAGATAAAATTAATGTTGATTTTTTACCAAAGTGGATGATTTACAAAATTATCTTCATTTGCTTAATTATGATATATCAATCGAAGAATGTCTTACTGATGAACAAATTATTAATTTATTACAGGATGAAGGAAATGAAAGTGAAAATGAAAGTGATATTTTAGATGAAAAAGTAATAGTAGTATCAGAAAATAAAGGAATCAAAGCATTTAAAACAATCATTAATTATTTTGAGCAGCAAAATGATCTAGCATTTAGCATTAATAATTTGCATATTTTTAAAAAATACTTACGAATTATTAAAGCTAAGTGTTTAATTTAAAATAGCAAATTACACTTGATGATTTTTTTGAAAGATAATAATGTTTTTTTTATTTTAGTAATTAATATTTTTGTAATATAATGTATATTACAATCTAGTAAAAATAAAGGGGCAGTATATGCATTAAATTTTTGTTTTTTTTGTATATACATTTGTATATTAAAAACTATTTATTTAGTTTGAATTTAGAATATAATTTTTACATTGAATAATAAAATTAGCATTCATTCATTAAAATTTTTTTCAAAAAAAGTTTTTTTTTATAATGATAAAATTTACATATAATCACACCAAATCAAAATTTTACATAAATATGATTATATAATAAAAACCTTACTATAAGCATTCCTCTTTATAATCACACCATTTAGTAGTTCCAAAGGGTGTGATTAGTAAGAGGGACGACTGTATATGTTTTTATATTCTTATTAATAGTATAGTATTTTTTTTAATTTCACAAAATAATTTAAACATTTTAATCAAAATAAAGCATTTTTTATTTTTAAAATATTTATTAATAATTATTTTTATAACTATATTAATTTTTAAATCTTTTATTTTTTTAAATATTTATTATATTTATTTATATAATTTACTAATACTATATCAATATAAAAAAAAGTTATTACTTTATTTTATTATAATTAAAGCTGCTAGCTGAAACTATTAATTATTAAAACTTCAGAATTATAAAATTAATTTCAATAGTTTTGAAAATATAATAATATTTTAATTATAATTTAAAACATATTTCAGAATTTTAAAAATATATTTATTAATAAATTATATAAGTTTTAGAATTATAGAGATAAATTAATAATTAGTTTTAGCAATCTATTTTGATTGGCTATTTTAAAATTATATGATTTTTTTTAGAAAATACAATATAATTATTTTATAATAAAAATGATATTATTTAAAATTAATAAGATAAAAAGTTAATTCGTGATTCGTGTAATAATTGGAGAAAATTACTATGCTAAATCAGGAGAAATTAATGTAGATCATATAGTTTTAATAAAAAATTAGCATTTTTGATGCATTTATTAAAGGATCACCTAGTTATAATTACAGTCAACTCTTGATATAGCAAACTCTTGATATAACGAATTTTTTGAACAAATATAATAAAAATACTCTTGTTATAGCAAATTAGCCAATCAAATCTCTTAAACTCTTCACTATAGCCTTATAGTGAAGTTGAGGTCTAGGACATAGAGTTCGTTATAACAAGAGTTGACTGTATATAGCTAATTTATTAATTGTTATAAATATCATGACGTAATGTTATCTAATTTCTATTTTATCAATATTTTGATAAAAGCCAGTTTATAACTCAAATCTAACTCATCTGAAAATTTTACACTACTATTCACTTTCAGATAAAAAATTCAATAGTATTGTGTGCTTGTTTCCAAATATAATTTATTTAGATTTTAATTATATCATAGGATTTAGCAACAAAATACTAAAACAAATAGTAGAATCATATCCCAATCTGAAATATTTTAATTTGCAAAAGGACAAATATATCCTATAATATAGGCATAATAACTGATGAAAGTCTATATGCAATTGTCCTATTATATCATAAATTAGTATTTCTTACCACACAGATATTTATGAACTATCAATTTGTAATATTATTCATTCTTGTCTAAAGCTTTAACAACTTAACCTTAGATTTTATAAAATTATCAATATAACAATTGAAGAGATTACTAGATCATGTCTTAATTAAAAATATTTTGATCTGAAAGAATGCTATAATATTAACATAGAAGCTGTAGATCAGCTCCTTTCACTTAACCCAAATATTCACATTGAGAATTTTATAGATACTAGAACATATTCTGACTTTTTATTTAATAATTTTCTATTCAGTACTTTTTCTAGATATGATGCTGTTTCTAATCAAAATTCAACCTTACATCAGATACACAGGCAATCTAATTTCAATACAATTGTGATAGTTTTAGATGATATATTAGTCGACTAATCTAACTAGTTCAGAGCAGTAATCATTAGCATTACGTTACTTGGTATATTGTATTTCACATTTTTTTCATTTGAAGATGAAAGAATACTAACCAATTAAGCAGAATGGTGGTACTTTACTGATTTAACTAATCTGGATCAATGATCAGCTCAAAAGATTTTTTTATTGGGTTATACCTTGTGCAATAAAAAAATATAGATTAACTAACTTATTCTAGACATAGATACTGATCTGCACCAGTTGAATATTTTATAAATATTTTATGCAATTGTTAAGAAGTGACCTTTAGAAATAATGGAAACTCCTCTCCAGTAAACCAAATTTTCTTTACTTGTATTTTACAATATTTCAGTAAAATCACATCTAGACTATCTTTTAAGGGACCATAGAAATCCTCAAACTTTTAAAGATATTCTCTTATAATTTTATCAGCTTCTTCTGCCCTTTCTTGGTTAGAATAACCAACAATACAAAGCTCTTTTTGAATTGCTATTATATTCTCTTCAAAATATATAAGCAAATTAAATATTTCTTTAAGTAAAATATTTGTAGAAGCTTTATTATTTTAGAGTGCCTCTTCTAAAATGAAATTACTATCAATTCTGAGATTCTCCTATATTAGTATTAAATCTCTTACTAATTCTAATAACAATTCGTATGAATCAGCAAGTGTTTTTCTCATGAGCTCAGAATCTGAAAGCATTACTAATTTATTTGCATTACCACCAATGGTTACCAGAGGTAATATACTAAGTTTTTCCTAAATAGCTACTATATCCTTCTTCTCATATAAAAGCATTTCATAAAACTAAGCAAGTGTTTCAGTATTAATGATTATCATGATTGCTATAATAATGTAATATATTTAATGAGAAAATCTTGTGTTTAAAATATTGATCATTAACCAAAGTGGTGATCTGACCTCTTCAGCTTAAAAGAATTTGCTGAGCCATAGATTTCTGTGCAATGATGTAATGGCCGATCACACAGTCAGTCTGTAAAATATTATTTTTTTGTATATATCGAAAGTTATGTATGCTAACTAGAATCTCTATTTTTTTCTAAACAAACATGAGAAAAATGTAAAAGGAGGTCTAGTTGCAATACAGGATCTACTGTAAAAGTAAATAGTATTGGCAAAAGCATTTATTATAAAGGGCTGAAAAGTTTAGAATTTTGAGATCTCAGGAATTATTGAAGTAGATAAAAACATAATAATAGAATAGAATATTAGCATAGAAAAATCATCATATATCACGAGCAATATTCCAATCTTGTATTTATTTTTTGCATATAACAATAAAAATTTTCTTGACAAAAACCGTTCCCTTAGGGAATGATCAGCTGAAATAACTTATATATTTTACTTAACTATTTCTATATATACTAACGAACTTTAAATATTTCCATTCTTATATAAAATTTATCGATGTCAAATACTCAATCTAACAATTCATTAAGGAAATTAAATGCTAAGCTCTTAGCTGAGATTAGCAAACTTAGGAAAAAGTTTGCTAAGATTAAAGTCAAAAATGATGAGCTTAAGAATAAGAATACTGAGATCCCTAAACTTAGAAGGAAGTTTGCTGAAATTGAAACTGAAAGAATTGAACTTAAGGCTAAAATTATCAAACTTCTAAAACAGGATATAGAAGAGAACAAAAGGCATGATGCTGAGAATATTGAGCTCAAGATTAGAATCGAGAAGTTAGAAAAAAATAAGACAGATTCTTCAGCTGAAAATATTAGATGTGATATTGAGATTAGGCGACACCAAATTGATTTTTTGTATTACATTTCCCTCTTCCCTTCCAATTTCCAAAATTTTATCAAAAAAAAAACACATATATTCACCAATAAAATTACGAGTTTTAGATCATATGATTAATCAGTCTGAATATCATATATTTGGTAAAATTAATAAAGTAACATATGACCGATGATCGGTACACTCTATCTACTACTATTTTTTTTTTTACGATTTTTCGTTAAATATATAAATTAAAATGGAACTCCGTCACCTTTTTTTTTTTCACTTTCTTTAAGTTTTTGATATTATGATTTTCATTATATTCCAAGTATATGAAGGTCTCAAAAGTTTGGCTCAGCCAAAAATTAAAGAAGTAGATGAAGGTTTTTTTTCTGAAGTATTTGATGTTGTTACTTCAGGTGCATATATGGGAAAGGCAGTTCAAGTATCAGTTCGTGCCAATGATAAAGACTCATGCCCTATAAAAAATTTGCATATGTTTTTTCATTATTATAAATAAGTTTTGTATACGTTTTTTAAAATTCTGTATCACATTTCCTTATATTTTATAAGGA